GAATTTAATTTTTAAGCTGCAAAATCTACCTCGCAAAACTTTGTGCGAAACCTAATAATATATATAATTTGTTATTACATAAATGTATAAATAATTATACAGCTGTATGTCCTTATTAATGTGCACGCACTTTTAATTATTGTTTTATTGTGTAATTTATGTAACTTTGATTATTTTTAACAAATATATTTATTATTAAGCACATTAATTAAATGAGTACTTTGCATGCTAATAATTGAAAGGCAGCTGTTAGGAATATTAAATAATCAATTTTAAAAACATTCAAAAATGTAATTTATTAAAAATCATTACTTTTTAAAGACATTAATACAATAAATAATTCCCAAATTTATAGAGAGAGTAAACTTATAATTATTTTATAGACATTCTCTAATTGAAATTATTCTTTATTGTAATTATTAAATTTGATATGCAAGAAATAATCATGGTCATTAGTGTTTTTGATTAGCACCAGCCATTTTATTGACGCTAACAGTACCACCCTGTCCATTATTAGCATGATATCCAGTGCCGTGTTGTCCATTACCATGCTGACCATTACCATTTTGTCCATTGGCACTCTCGACATTTATGCCTGCAGCTATGATTAAAATATTTTAAATTATTGTGTAAAATAAATACAAAGTATTATTCTCACCTAATACGATAGCTATAATAAATATAGATACAATTGTTTTAGACATCATTGTTAAAATATAAATTATCAATAAATTGTTGAATAATTTTAATATGAAATATTTTATAATAAAATAAATATGTTTGGTTTAACTTTATATAACTTTTTAAAGTGTACCTGTTTATACAAAATTTTGTTTTATTTTTTTATGTACAAATATTTCTCATTTTAATTGTAATTATAAAATAATTAGCATGAAAATTTAAGTAAATAATACCAATAAATAAATAATATGCTAATTACTGATATGTTTAAAAAGTTGAAAATAAATTACTTTTAATTTTGTGTTTATTAAATATTAACTGGCTATAAAATAATAGTCACATAAACTGATTACTGTATTATTATACTTTCAAAAATTTTATTGCAAATAAAAATAAATGAAATAATTCAGTTTGAATCAAGGACAAAAAAACTATTTGTGTTTATGATTAGCACCGGCCATTTTCTTAATTTGCAATTTAGACCCATCAAATGTTTTCATTGTACTCCCGGTTCCAGTAGTGGTCACATGTCTCTCATCATCACCGGGTGAACAGGGAGTTGTGGAGTCGGCGTTGCAATCATCTTAATAGTCAAATAAATATATTAAACAAACATTAATTAATTTTAAAATGTTTTATATTGCTATACTAAACTCATGGCAATCACAATTAAAAATATTATGAAAATTGACTTGATGTTCATTGTAATTAAAAAGTGTAATTATTTTTAATATATTTTTTAAAATTTTTATTGAATAATAGTGTAATTGTTTTGCAAAATAATATTTTATACATCGTAATTAATTTAGTATTTGTTCAGGTTTATATTTAGTGTATCATACAGTGTACGGTACTAGTTATAAAAATTATTTTATATAAAATAAAGTAAATTTGCAAAAATGTATAAAAAACACAAAATTTACTCGATGTTTTTTAACGTTAAAATTGTTTTATTAGGTTTCGCACAAAGTTTTGCGAG